GAGACAGGAGGCAGAGACATTCAAGTGTGGGAACCAATACACTGCTTAATGCACCCAGATCAGGCTGGTGGACTCAGACAGGAAGGGTCAAGGCCCTGGGGATTACAATGAGAATTAAAAGCAAACTCTATGCCTGTAAGATGCGAATGACATCCTTGGATAAATGGAATTTTTATAATTTAAGAAACTATAAGTAATTTATTTCAAGTGACCATTCATTCATTCATTCATTCATTCATTCCGTATGTGTATGTACTGAGGGCCATGGAATGGCCCTGGAACCATTCTGGAGACAAAAGACAGCGTGTTCTGGGAGACAGAAACCAGCTCTAAGGAAGACGTTGCCTTTCAAGGAAGACAGAGATAGGCCAGCATGGACCTCAGAACAATATCAAGCTATCATCTAAGGGGGAGAGGGGGGGTGGCAGGTGTAACTAACTCCAAATCAAGTACACTTCCATTCACCTCTACAAGGATTAAAGAATGAGTTGCTTAGTCTTGCCTACAGAGCTAGTTTAAGGTCAGCCTAGACTATAGAAGACTCTCAAAAACTTAAAAACAAACATGAAAAACTTACCTGAGATCTACTGAAGGCACAGACAGGAGATAAACTAAATTTGTATACAATTTGGATGCTATGGCTCAGAAAACAGACCATTATTCATAAATATAAAAAAAATTAAAAAGCTTTACAAAAGGGTCATACAAAGTAACAGATACTCCACTGTCCATAAAGGAACAGCGAGATATCACACCGTACAACAGGAGTGGCCAAGCACCAGGAATGCAACAAGCAAACTGACAGAGCCAGAAGAAAGCACACCCCAAACAGTGTGTTTATCAGGATAGTAGAGGCGGGCATTTTGAAAATTGATAAGGACATAGGAAAAAAACCTAGAAACGTTGTTATAACCTGTGCTTTTTAAGAGAAGGAAAGAAGCTATTAAATTAAAATGAAGTAGCAACAGTATCTTCCCTTATAAGTCCTTATATTCCCCAAAGCCTTTTCATAGGCCCCCACCCCTTTTAGTTTTTCAAAGCAGGGTTTCTCTGTGTAACAGCCCTGGCTGTCCTAGAACTCACTCTGTAGATGAGGCTGGCCTCGAACTAACAGAGATCCAACTGCCACTGCCTCTGGAGTGCTGGGATTAAAGGTGTGCGCCACCACCACCTGGCTCATTTTTTATTCTGAGCAGGGCTGGGGCTTAAACCCAAAGCCTATGTGTGCTAGGTGAGTACCTTACAACTGAGCTATATCATGAACCTCATAATTTTTAAAAAGTAATAACTTTCTTATTACATTTACTTTATTCTCTCTCCCTCCTCGTGTGTGTGTGTGTGTGTGTGTGTGTGTGTGTGTGTGTGTATACAACTTCTGGGAGTCAGTTAGTTCTCACCTCTTACCATGTGAGTCCCAGGAACTGAACTCAGCTCATCAAGTTTTGCAGCAGGTGCTGCTACCTGCTAGGCCATCTCACCAGCCATACCTTGTAGCTTTTCATGGAACTATTCAACCGCGATGTTGTCAAATGCCTTCACCCCAAACCACTCACCACACAAAATCCTGACATCCATCTACCACCCCCTCAAGACAAGGTTTCCTTTATCGGGTCATCATTCTCCAGTGCCCCTAGTAACAACTAACTGGTCCTCCCCAGTTTGAAGAAGTAGGCCGACACAGATTCACTTTTATAGGCAGTGGCTTTTTACAAGTACTTTTAAGATGTGCTGTTCAAGTCACTGATGTAATACTGTAAAGTAGTACAAGCCATTAGTTTTAAAAGACGTCCGAGTCTTCCATCTCAGGGCCTGGCTGACTTCCTTGGCTGTGTGATACTAAACAACTAAGATAAGGGTTTTCCCTGTATGAAGCCTCTATAGTGAGACTGCTTCTTCCGTGACCTATGCCCATCCCTTGTGACAGACCTTCATTACTAGTGGGGCCCCCTTTCTAGTTCTAAGCCCCTTCTCCAGCTAGCACAGTCTCGACAATCAATGCAAGAACGTGGGTTTAAATGGCGTTTCTGGGAAGCTACTGGGCATGGATTCAGCTGAGGGAAGTAGGTATTTTGTGCTTCTGCTTTTCCTCCTCTTTCAGGCCTGTACCTGGATCAAATAATGGGTACCCTCCATGGCCATCTGGGACCAGAAGGAGACAATGAGGATGGAAGCCAGGTGCTGGGGTGAAGTAAGAGATACACTGTGCAGCTGCCCTGAAATCCTCAGACCTCTTTCCAAAGGTGGATGAAGGTATCTCTCAGATGCTGTCACTGCTTGCTTTTACATACACAGAGTCCAACTGACATCACATGCTAACAAAGGTTACTCCACCCCATACACATCCATCCCACTACCAGTAAACGGCAAATGACTGAAGAAAGTGACCAATATAATCAAACATTTTAATCAGCCACTTTTTACTAAGCCTCCATAACAGCTTGCTATATACCACTACTTTCTCTTTCCAATACAGATAGCCATACTCTTTTCTTCACTAGTTCAAACTCAGCTAACATATACTTTCTGGTATTCTGCCCTCATATGACAGTGACCAAAAATCCAACTTTCCATAACCCTTAATAAAAACAAAATAGAAGAAGCCACAATTCCCAAAATGGAAGTGATAGCAAAGTGGCGGCATACTATCTCTCAAATAACTGTGGTGGCTGGTACTGGTATACACACTCCCAGGCAAACACTCACCCACAGACCAGCACTGACATGTAAGATCTCCAACCTATACCAACATCAGCACCAACAGGGCTGTTGGTAGCACCTTATGTCTTGACAAAGCCCTTCCCTGAAAGCTCTTTGCTTTCAAAGACAGGGGGAACCAGAGCCCTGGCTCCTGGGAAAGACACATACAGTCTCCTGCCTCATTCTACAACTTGGCAAGGCAATGTCTCCTTCACAAGAGCCTTGTCTTCCTAACAGTGATCTCGTAGAAGGTAAAACTTTGTAGTGCAGTGCAGCTTCAGATTATGGTCAAAGTTTAAACTTGATCAAGAAAATTGTAAACTTTTACACTTCCATTATCCTGACCCAGATTTCTCAATGGGCCAAATTATATAACATTATTTCATGCTGCCTAGCTCTCTCAGAATAGTAAGGATATAAGAAAGTTAAAGAGAATTCAGCTTCTACCTCTCATTTTCTGCATCTTATTCCCCCACCCAAATAGCCTCTGGGCTGACATTCAGACACTAAAAGTTTCAATTTAGTTAATATACTTTTTTAAAAAAACATAATTTTGGAAAAGGGCTGAGAAAAACATAAAATCTCAGCGAAAGGAAAAGGACAGTAAGATTTTTCTTTCATGTAGCTCAAATCTTTCACACCCTCCATTAAAGTATATATCTAATTGTTCATAGTCTCACCAAGAGGAAGTTTTCTATTACTAAAAGGGCAGAGAGTACAGACAGAGGGGCAAAGAAAATACAAGTCATTTTTAAAGAAATTGCAGCCTTATGGTGGTGGTGCACACCTTTAATCCTAGTACTCAATAGTCAGAGGCAGGCAGATCTCTGAGTTTGAGGCCAGCCTGGTCTACAGAACTAGTTCCAGGACAGTTAAGGCTGTTACATAGAGAAACCCTGTCTTGGAAGGAAGGAAGGAAGGAAGGAAGGAAGGAAGGAAGGAAGGAAGGAAGGAAGGGAGGGCAAAGTATAATCTCTCCCCCTCTCTCATACACACACACACACACACACACACACACACACACACACACACACACACATTCTTCTCAAATGTCTGGTAGGATAAGCCATATGAACACTTGTTCTCAGCTGAGCGGTAGTGACACACACCTTTAATCCCAGCACTCAAGAGGCAGAGGCAGGCAGATCTGAGTTTAAGGCTACAGAGTAAGTTCCAGAACAGCTAGGGCTACACAGAGAAGCCATATCTCAAAAAATCAAAACCAGAAAAAAGAAACATCCCTTCTCACAACAGCACCTACAGAGGAATAAGCCATGTTAGGAACAGCTCAGATAAAAATAAAATCTGGTGGTGGTGCCCACCTTTAACTCCAGCACTTTGGAGGCAGAGGTAGGCAGATCTCCGAGTTCAAGGCCTACCTGGTCTACAGAGAAAATTCCAAGACATCAGAGGCCCGGGGGGGGGGGGGGGGGGGGGACAGGGTGGGATGGGAAAAAAAAAAAAAAAAAAAAAAAAAAACCACACCAAGTCTAAAGAACTTCTGGGCTCAAAGCACACAGATGCAGAAAGTAGTCCCAAGGGCCCATACCACCCCCAAAGTTTGTCTCCGGAAATACCCTTCTCTTGGGTACAGGCTACTCAAACAGATCTTAAATACATACCACTAATCACATGTATCCACTCTGCAGTCAGTTTGGACAAATGAGAACACCAGGAGGCATATTCCTAGCTGTCCTGCCAGCCCATGTACAAGACTGAATACTCTACCAACTTATCATTTAATTATATACTTAACACTGACTTTATAGTCCAGTTTATGGACTCCACGTATTTAATACACAGTTACTTCCCAACTCCCTGCAATTACACACCAGTTACGGAATTCATTAGCAGCACCCCTGAGCTAAAAGGAGGTCTAAAACACCACCATCAGGCCATGCTCTCCAACTGACACCTGACACCTGCACTGGGTCCCAGTTAAACACACATCTCTTCTCCCGAGGGTTCCGTCTCCAGCAAGCTGAGAAGGAGAGAGAGACATGCAGGCAGGTTGTGCAGGTTTGCCTTTCCTGCTGCTCCAGAGAGGGGATGTCCTCTTTGGGAGATTATATACACATTTCCCACAAGTAGGAAAATAAATCTATTTCTGCACATATCAAACACTACCTACTAAGTATGAATTCACAATTACCCCCAGACCCTTCAGATACCCCGCCCCTTTCCCTATGTGGACACTCAAAGGCAGAACGTTCTGATAAAAGGGTCCACCAAGAATCCACATCTACTGAGCCAGAGTGAGGGGGTGGCTGTTCTTCACACCCAGCCCAGCCCTCCATACTCACTGTTGCTGGACTTAAGGTCTCGGTGGATGATGGGGACGATCGCCTCGTCATGTAGGTAATTCATCCCTCTAGCAATCTGCACAGCCCAGTTCACCAGGATGTCTGGGGGAATCCTCTTCCCAGATAACACTCTGTTCAAAGGCCCTCCACGAGCAAACTCCATGACCAAGCAGAGGTTGGGTTCCTTCAAGCATACCCCTCTGAGGGCAATGATGTTCGGGTGCTTCAGCATGGCAAAGAGCTTGGCCTCTTGGCGAACATTCTCTATGGTCTGGCTGATGTCCTCATCAGGATCATGGCGAGCTGCTTTCACGGCGACTTCATCGCCTACCCAGAAAGCGCGATAAACTTTGCCAAAACCCCCAATGCCAATGATCTCCTCCAGGGTTAGCTCCGCAAAATCAATCTCTAACACTGAAATAGAAGAAAACAGGATATCAGCCATAACCTTCAAACACCATGTAACCAACCGCACTTCCACTGGGTGGGCAAACACAGGAAAGCGGGACCTCCCAGTCTCCCCACTGTAAACTCCACAAGTGCTGGAGACTGGTTAACTTCATGTGCATTATTCTTAGTGACTAGCAAATAGCAGACATCCGATGGGTATTTACTACAAAGTAAATTCTACTTGGAGAATCAGGAGAATCTTGTACCAAGACCACCCCATTTTAACACAAGAGAATACTGGGCAACAGTTTTTGAAAATCACTTAGGTTTATTTGTACTTGGTGGTGAGAGGCACACAACCCAGGGCTAAGCAGTCACACAGCAGCTACAGTTTGGTTTGTAAACAGCTTCTGTAGAAATAGCATCAGTGGGTAAAGAAAGGCACTAACTCCTGCAGTAGGAGGGGGATGGAAGTGAATGGAAAAGGGCCCTGTGGAAAGAGTCCTAGAGGGAGAGTAAGTAGAGGGGAGGAGAGATCTCATCAGACAACGAAAGGGTTGGGGTAAGGGACAATCCAGGTACTGTAACATCAGGGTGCCGGATGCCTGAAGGACATTAGGGAGTACACAGTGGCTGGTCTGTTGTACTGGGATATGAAATAAGACTCAAGCCTTGTTGGGTGTAACCAGGTGGTAAGAAGTTTTCGAGCAATTTCGAAGGGCTTAAAGTTACTCTAGACTCAGAAAGAGCACCAACTCTGACAGTTGTGCAGAATATAATGGGAAAGGAAGTCTGGAGCAAGGAGCCTGTAATTGGAGTTCTTAATTGGTCTAGAGAGCCAGTAAGAGACCAGGATGCAGCTCAGTTGGTAGAGCCGGCATGCATGAAGCTCAGCATTTAACCCATAGCACCATATAAAATGCCCATAACCCTACACTAAGGAGATGGAAACTGGAGAATCGGAAATTCATGGTCAACCTAAGCTCTGTAGCAAGTTTAAGGCTAGCCTGGTCTAAAGGGAAACCCTGTGTCAAAAGGAAGAACCATGAAGGAGGCCCCTGCAGTGACCTCGGCCTGCTGAGCCTCAGAGGTACTTGATGAGGAAAGAACTTTGTCCATGTGAAAGACTTCCGGGGCTTGGTTCTACCAGGATCTGGTTGGTTCTTGAGAAGTACAGGAAAGGAGGAAGCCTCATGGGAAACATCTCACTCCAGCGGGCCTCGGTGCCTCGAGTCACCTCAACCACTCATTCTGCTCCCAAGATCTACAATCTGAGTCTTCACCGCTGTTCGGGAAAGATAGATAGCAGTGACCCCCAGTGATTATAAACCTTGGGTGAGATAGAATGTTAAGAATTAACCGAGCAGGGCACTGTTTCACATGTCCCTCCTAAAAGCATGTTCTCTTCTCTCTTCTGACCGATTCAGACTCATCACTCACATCTGAACTTAAACACCCATTTCACTGACAAACTTCTAGACCAAATGGGGACAAGCTCCCATCAAACTCCTTCGCAGCAAACGCCATTCCGCAAGACTCACCAAGACTACCGATATTTAATTATTCGTTCACTGCCTACCACCTGTGACACTATGACAGCCACAGGGCAGTGATTCTATTTGCCACCACTGTGTTCATCGTGACAAATATCTAGAAGGTGATCAATAAAAGGAATTTACTTAAGTAGGGCATAAACAAATTTATAACTGTTTAAAAGGGTTGGTCAGGGTTTCTGGAAGAGAGAATAACCACACTCCACCAAAACCAAAACCTAGGAAAGCAAAGATGTATTTCTAGATTTTGGCAAGAGCAAACTGGACAGCCGTTCCTCCTTACATGGCCAGTCCCAACACACCCCACAGTTTATTTGAACACTGATAGGGCTCAAATTTTCATTCTTACTTAACTATAATACCTCTAATCTTTTCCTCTTCTTGTATTTTGTGATGCAACTGTCAATCTGCACAAAAGAAACTTGGGAAAAGTCATGTGGACTGTCTTTACATACACAAGAAGCAGAACCCATCTAACCCCTTGGGGATGCGGTGCAGCTTAGTGACAAAATACATGCGTAGTATTTGCAAAGTACAGAGTTTACCAGGAAATAAAGAAAAGAGGGGAAAGCTATTGTCTCTTAGGGAATGTGTGGGAGGTGGGGGAGTCCCCCAGAAGAACAAATGATATGGCAGAAGCTGCGGACTAGCAATCAGCACCCATCCCAATATCCTTCTAGCACCTCACCTTTTTAGGCTAGAGAGCTAAGAAACTACAAATCCCAAGATCCCTTATGGCAAAGGTACTGGATGTGAATTAAATGACATACAAGACTTACAAAGCAAAGAGAGATGGAGACCATCTTCTGGCTGCCTCTCCTGGCAAGTATGGCTGTCTGCAGCAGCACACCAGTGTCCAGTCACTAGCTCTGTATTTGTGTAGATGAATGTCCCATAGAAGTGGCTGCCTATTCTCCAGGCTGCAGGCACAAGATACCCTTGGAGCTGCTGCCATCTCCAGCAGCTCTAGGTGCTAACCCTCGTCTGTAAGGACAGTGCCAACTTGCTTGCTGCTTCAGCTCTGCAGTGCCCAGAGCTCTCTCCATAAGAGCCTCTTCTCCAAGCCCTCCCAACAATTCTGTGAGTGCCTAATTTCCTGTGCCGAATCCATTTCTTGCTTAAAATAGCTGCAATGTTTGAGTCCTAAAAATGAATCCTGACTAATTACTAACTTTTGCCTGATGTCATCCTCATGAATGAGAAAACATGCCGACATTAAAGAGAGATTAGAAACCCCTTTGAAAGATACATGTCTACTTGGTCTTAGGAGGCAAGGAATGTTCTTTTTATTTTATTTTCCTACTAGTCCTTACACTTATGAAAAGCCCCGTGCCTCCTGAATGAACTGTACTGATCATCCTATTTCTTCAACTAAGTCTTTCAATTAACTATACTATTTCTCTAACACTCACCCTATTTATTGGCTCTGAAGTTTGCTTGTCAACACACAGTAGGTGTTCAATATTTACCCAAGGCTGTAAAAGATGGGACACTGGTCTAGGGTGCTGAAAAGGACAGCTCCTGCAGCCATCATGCAAACAAAGATTGAAGCCTAAGGGAAAGCAGTGACCAATCTGGGGTAGAAGCCAAGATTGCAGCTTTTCCCTACTAAGTTAAGAAACATATGGAAGCCAGCCTGCAGGAGAAGCATAGAAGATAGCTTTCCAATAGACAAAGACAACCTGGAGCAGGAGCAAGGACGTTTTCTTTCCCTACTCAGAAGTCCCTTCTGAAGGGCTTCCAGGGACTAGACCTTCAGCTGCAGAGAGCATGTGGGCTCCTTTCCTTCTCCGATCCAGTCAAGACCTGGTTTTAGGCAAGAATCAGGTCAACTTGCATTCAGCACATTTTTTTTAATTTTCTGTGGGAGGCTATTTCTAGGAATATCAACAAAACCTTATTTCATATTGGAGTCAAGATGCTATTTCCTCCAGATTGTATGCTTGGAGACTGGCTGGACCAGCCCATCTCGTGGGCTTGGGGGCAAGGTAATAAATGGTATACTTCGTTCATTTCAAAGTCTTCTATACAAAGCCAGGTTGTGAATCCCAGCTGTAATCCCAGCACTTTTCCAGCACTCGGGAAGTAGATGGATACAGGAGGATCCTAAGTTCAAGGCCAGCTTGAACTACATAATGAGATCCTGTTTCAAAAAGAAAGGTAAATAAGTAAATAAATAACCCTATACTAGGGCAGGGGACAGAGAAGGCCAGGACTTCTGGCCTCCATTCTAGTTAAAAATGCTTCAGGTTCAGTGAGAGACCATCTCAGAGTCATAAGGCAGAGATCTTTAAAGGACATCCAGCATTCTCCACTCATGGGTACATGTGTGCATGGATACATGCATCTACATAAACACATGTATGTATACACACATACACACACCTTAAACATATCTAAAAAATAAATCCTTACATTTGTAGAGCATTCGGCAAAAACACATGTAACTTAACAGTTAACCTTAATGCTGTGTTGCAAACAGACTAACACTAGTGTAGAAGAAACATTTTAATAACTTTGTATCCACCAGGGTGACAAACTCTATATTTTTCACCTTGTCTGTATTTTTCACCTTTTACAATGCAGAGAATGAGAACTCTCTCAGTTATATAAACTTGTCATCCACAGAGAGCCAACCCCGATACCTACAGTGGTGGGATAAAAGCGAAATATAAAATGGCTTATTTTCTTTGATAAAAGATTAATTTCTTCTTCTGTATTGAATAAAGCTTGAATCAAAACTTTCACTGGAAAACAACACTGTATAACTAAACCTAACCCTCTCACTGCCTGACTAGACATAAGTATTCCATTTGCAATCCTGGGCATATCACATGCTGTAATCCCCAGAGGGGAAGTTTAAAAGGGCAGCCCTGGGGAAGAACTGTCTGTGGCTTTACTATTCCAAGTCCTCAGGAGACAAGGTTTTGACAATCATCTTTATTTTCTGAGTGACACTAACTCAGCTGGTGGACAGGGCTCCTAGATGAGACATTCCATGGATTTCATGTTTACTTCACCAGTCTCCCTGGTCTGCTCAGAAGCACCTCCTCCCACCCTTCCAACCCCCCGGTTCTTAACATAGTAGCCACCACTCACCAAGTACTCAAGAATGCGCTTTGGACTGGAGGTTTGTGAACTACCAGGAATAATGCCAGTCCTAAGTAAGGCCAAGTTAGAGCACTTACCAGAACTTTCAATGCCAAGCTCCTCAAGTGAATTCTTTCCCCAAGCACAAGGATCTCCCATCCGGGTTTCAGACTTAGGAATCTACTCTATCCAAGGTATTATCTATTCCAATAAGGTGAGTCCTGGCCACATTATAGGGAATCATCTCTGAATGCATGGGCTGTTGACATGTCTGGCACTCAGCAGAAAGGTTCTTTTAACCTAAGTCATGTTCACCCCTGACTTCTGTGACAGCCAGGAGCATAGATACCAAGGAAGCTGAGAGGCTGCTTATGAACTTCACATAACTCACACACTCTCACATCGCCTATCCCTAAAAACATCATCACAGAACTCCACCTGCAAAGAGCCTCAAACCCTCATTCCACAAATGGCCAAGTTCATCTCCAACATTAATTTCAAACACCATGCATGCCAGGACCTCTGATTGGCCTTTGTCTCACCAGTATTGCCAAATATGCCAAAAATATGAGGCACCCAGAAACAATCTATAGTGACTTGATTATGTATATCAACATGTATAAACAAGAAACTTTGAATGAACGGGGACAGATCTGAGTAGAACTAGAGATCTGAACAATTTGACAGTCAAGGGACAAAAGGAAAGGGAGGAAAAAAGAAGTTGCAATTGTATTTAAAACTCATCTTAAAGTTCATGAAAAATAAATAACAGTCAAAAAGGTAACTATTGCAGATGAAATTTTAAACTAAGTATTAAAGTTAGCCCTTTGTAGTGACTTTAAAAATAATAATAAAGTAGGATGCAAAGTACATAAAACAAGAAACTACTAAGTATATAGTAAGAATGCCTTCTAACAATTATGGAAACTTAAATACTATAAATTGCACTTGGAGATATTCACATCTTCTGAAATAACCACACACACACACACACACACACACACATATATGATTAAAGAATTATAATGGCAATTTAACTCCTTTGAAAAGCAGCAAAGGAAATTTCATTAGGGGCATGGAACAGGGGGTTCCTAGGAACAGATGGAAACCAGGACACAGGGAGAAAGGCCCTGGGAGGGAACTCTGCCCCCGCCCCCACCCCCACCCCCACCCCCGAGATTTGGCCAATGCCAAGTACAGGCAAGGATCTAGGGTGAAAAATATGTGTTGTCTGAACTGCATGTCTGTAAGGGACAGAGACTTAGCCACTGTACCTGGTGATCCTGAACTCCCACGAGGGAGAGACATACTTTCTCCCTCTAATTATTTCTCCACTCGTGACTGTGCGCCCTCCCCCCCCCCACACACACCTTTCCTAACATATTATTTGGTGAGACTCAAGGCACAACTTTGAGATACAGCACGAGAACCCAAGAAGCCAACACGAGATTTCAAAGGCACCTGACTCTTGAGTTAGTTCACACATGCTTCCGGGACTTGTGAGCCTGCCCAGGCAGGCGAGAGACATCTCCACTTCTCTCGGGACAAATACCTTTAAGAGGCGGGGACAAGCGACAGAAGAGGTCGGCCAGGTCCTTGGTTGGGGGACTAAGGTTACTGGTGACTGTAACCACAAGATCTCCAGAAACCCTTCCAGATCTGGAGGGGCACAAGGGGGGGGGGGACTGGTGCTTGGGGCTTCAAGAGTTTCTGTTTGAGCGAGTCAGGTGAAGGTGAAGAAGCCCCGTATTCCAGGAAGGGCCTGCAGCTCTGGAGCTTGTCGGTGGCACCATCTAAAGCCCGCACACCTACCCACACCCCAGCCAATCGCTCCCCACCCCTGACCTCTCCTCGCCCACCCCAGGCCTCACCCTCCCCTCCCCTCCCCACAGAGCTTCGGTGCCGCCTTCTCCTTACGCTGAATGGGCGGGTAGCAACTGGGGTCCTCGGCGCCAGGCTGGCAGCGGCTGGAGAAGGCGCTGCGCGGGGTCACGTAGTTGCTGGGGAAGATGCCCACCCGCTGGTTCAGCTGTCCGGTCCACCAGCCCTCGTCGCCGGACACCTGCGAGTCCTTGGACAGCACCTCTACCACATCGCCTAGCCGCAGGGTCAGCTCGTCCTCGCCCGCCGCCTCGTACTCGAATACAGCCGTCCAGTAGGGCAGCGCGGCGTGGGAGCCCAGCTCGGTGGCCACCGCCTCCTCCTCGTCCTCCTCCTCCTCGGCCCCTGTGCCCGTGGCATCCTCCCCCGGCGGGGCAACTGAGGCGCTCGCCAGGCAGCCGAGAAGCGATCTGGAAGACTCCATGGAGCGGCCGGTCCATAGGGTGCGGGGCGGCCGCCCGCAGGAGCCGCCACCGCCTATTGTTCATGCGGCTCGGCAGCGCTGGGGGCTCCGCGCCCCCGACGGCCGCCGCAGGTAAGGCCCGGGCAGGCGGGGCGCGCGAGAGCCGCGGACGCCCGGTGCGCACTGCGAGCGCGCACCGCGGACAGGGAAGCGGCGCAGTGCCCGCCGCCTGGCGCCCTCGCGGGCGGCCTCGCCCCTCCGCGGCTCCCACCTGCTCGTGCCGCCCGTGCCCGCCGCCCGCTGACCGCTCCCTCCGCTCCCAGCCCCGCCCCGTCCCGCGCGCCCCGCCTCCCCGCACGCCCGGGACCACCTGACGCGAGTCTGGCTCCGCCCCAGCCCTGCGGACCCGGAGGCGGGGCCTCCGGGCCAGTTCCGCCCCCCTCTCCAGTCCGTCCTCCCATTGGCCCAATGCTGCTGTCCGTTTCCTGGGGAGAGACTGAGGTCTCATTGGGTGGCTCCAGAAGGTGAGGTAGAACGTGCTTTCGGATCGCGGGAGCCGGCGGCGGAGGCTGCAGTCTTTGTCTGCGCAGCTTGGTGCTACGGACTGCGCCACTTCCAGGTTCAGATGGCCAAGCTCTTGGATCTGCTTCTGCCCTGGCCTGCCCTGGGACCAGCTTCCGTCCCCTCCCGCCTCCACTCACACACTTGCGCTGCGGACGGAACCTTATGGCTCGCGGTGGAAGAACTCCTGGGATTGCATTACTGGTCTTGATGAGGACAGCACACGTCTCTGAAAAGTTCCAGGCCGTCATTGTCAGAATTCCGAAAGGGAGGTCACCTAGCGGGGCTTCCTCAGGCTGGGGAAGTGGAACCAACTGGTTTGCGCTTGCCTTGTGGAGCTGGCTGTATCTAGGACCCTGGTGATGGCTACTTAGATCACACCAAGAACCAAAGCAGAGTAAAGACTGGTACTGCCACTCTTGGGCAAAGGCTAACTTATGCTATGTCCTTTTGTTACAACCCCCGCCCCCACAAAGATTAAGAAAGAACAAGATACATGAACCTTAACCCATCCTATGTGCTATCAAGCTTCCATATTTCAAAACAAGCCAGTACTGGGGAATCCGGCCTGATATCTACCAAACTGTGTTACCTTTTCCAAGGCAAGAATAGATGTGATTTATTTAGCAACAGTTAATTCTTCTCTGTTTGTATTACTGAAACAAGGTCTCACTATGTAGCCTAGGCTGGCCTTACACTCACAATCTTGCTGCCTCAGCTGCCTGAGTACTGGGATTACAGGCATGTGCCACCATGCCCAGCCAGACTATTATTTTGTTTAATTTTAGTTTGAGGTTTATTATTAGGCAAACAGGAGCAATTTGGAAAAATAGCCAGGCAGCTACATGACCTTGGGCAGTTGTTTGAACACTTACTGCTGGGTGCTTCACCCCTGAAGTGAGGAGTGGAGGGAAAGGTCTCCTGTGTTATAGGTTGGACATCAGGCGTTTTGCAGGTGACTGTGTGTACACTGTAAGTACACACTGCACATTTAAGGTCTTAGGAAAGAGATGAGATGGTACAGTTCAAGAGTATCCAGAAAGTCCTAAGAATGGAGTCCCAGAAGTAAATTCCCCAACATGTTCAAGTTTATTGTATAGAGAGGACCCATAAACTGGAAAAGATGTGGAGGAGTCTGGGTAGATTCTCTGATATTAAGATTAAACCATTCTACCTGCAAGAGAAAGGGAGATGGAAAAATAATTCGTGTTTTAACACATATTTAATAAAATTTTCATATGTGTGAAAAAGGAGTTTTACAAAGCAGATCAAGGGACAAAAAGAACTCACTAGAGGGACTGGAGAGATGGCTCAGTGGTTAAGATCATTGACTGCTTTCAAAAGACCCAGATTCCATTCCTATCACTCACATGGCAGCTCACAAATACCTGTAACTCCAGCTTCAGGGGAACTGACACACTCTACTGGTCATGGGCACCAGGAATGCACATGGTACACACACATAGAAATTTTGTTTTGGTTTGGTTTTTCAAGACAGGATTTCCTTGTGTGACAAACAGTTTTAGCTGTCCTGGAACTCACTTGTAGCCTGACCTCAAACTCACAGAGATCCCACTGCCTCTGACTCCTATGTGCTGCCATTGGAGGCGTATATCACCATTGCTAGCTTTTGTTTTGTTTTGTTTAAGAGTATTTTTAAAAAGAAAGAAACACAAGAAAGAAAAATGTTAGCTTATGAATAAGTGGAACTATTAATTGTCATTTTGTTCCTCTACTTATGCATGCCTCTTACCAAGCACCTCTTCCCCGTAAAGTATGTGAGAACAATCCTTGCTCCCTAAGAATAAGAAAACTAAGTCCTTACACAATTTGAATATTTAATGCTACAGCATGGACTTAGGATCTCAGGAACTCATTGAACATCCGAACAAGTCACCCTGTAAATATTTGTTGAATGGATGAGTGCTAAGAATTCAAATCAGGGAAGATTCTTCAGAGCAGGGTTGCCTGGCAGAGCTTAATGGTAGAAACAGAAACAGAGCTGGTCCCAGAGAGGTGCAGGGTGGAGCAGGAAAAAGGGACAGAGAGAGGTGGGAAACTGTGGAACAGTGAGCCCATGCTGATGGCATGAAAGGATAAGAAAGAACGCTGGAAACCTATCGAGGCAGGATTGCAGAGCTTTGTAATTATTTGATTCACATTAATAATTATTTAATTGATCATTTGAGATTATTTAATAACAAAGGTGTTTGCCGTAAGGACAGGAACCGGTCCAACTTGTTCCTTATAGTTTTCCTGGCATCTCAGAATACCTGGCTCATAGCTAGTCACTTTTCTGGACACGGTCACACCTGATGGCTGACTTGGCTGCAAGCCTAGGAAGTCTGGGTTTTGTTTTGCAGACCAAGGTTACCACAGGGCCAAGGAAATGGTTCAGTGGGTAGGAATGCTTGCTCCACAAACACAGGACACAAGTTCAGATCCCTAGCACCTGTATAAAAAGCTAGATTTGGCTGTGCGGGCCTGTAAGGCCAGCATTGGAAGGCAGGAAACTGGCAGAGCTTACAGGCCGCCAGCCTAGCTGAACCACTAGGAGGTTTCGAGCAGATCTTTGGGGTAAAATGACAGATCTTGGCATCTTTAGGTTCCTCAGCCTGGGGTTGATGAATGTCACCCAGAAAAGCAACATTTTCCCCGCCACACTGGAAAGAAGAGACCCAAGCAGGGAGAAGACAAGTGTCACTCGGTGACGTGATCAGCATTAAACAGGTCAGATCGAGGGATGTCCTGACTGTGTCCTGAAAAACATATAACTTTGTACAAGACAAGATCTTATTGTCTTCTTTTTTTAATTAATTATATATTAATTACACATGTGTTTCATTATGACACTTTCATACTTGTATGACACTTCATACATATTTTGTAATCATGAACCCCCATTACTCTCTCTTGTTCCTTTCCCACTCCTAACTAGTCCTCCTCTACATGCGTGTGTGTGTGTGTGTGTGTGTGTGCGTGCGCGCGCGCGCGCGTGTGTGTGTGTGTGTGTGTGTGTGTGTGTGTGTGTGTGTCTCACTGAGCCTCATTAGAATTGCTTACAGGATCATGGCCCCCTTTACCCTGGCTACCTCACTAATGAAAATAGCAAGACAAGTTTTGGAAGCTGTTTCCTCATTTGTATATAACAGAAATGCTTTTTAATGGATGGTATAGGGTTAAACAAGACATGATGCCCAAAGCATGCTATTTAGCATACAGAGGCCATATTTCCTTTTCTCAGTTTCCACCCTCAGAAGCACCTTTAGCAGCACCTTAGAATGTAATGGGCAAAACAAACAAAAAAAGAAATGTAATGGGTCTTAACTGGAAGCTAACCAAGGGTTGTTCAAAAAAAAAATTAAAATTAAAAACTAAGGAAGGCAGGAAAAATGAAAGAGATGAAGAGAAAGAGGTAAGGAGGAATGAAGGGAGTCAATAAGAGAATGATGCCTTGAATTTGAATTCTGACTGATGCCTTTAGGCAAGTTAAACTCCTGTATCCCAGATACCGCATGTGAAAATCAAGGATAATAACATGATACCTCTGGCCTCCCAGACTGATTAAGGGACATGATGTATGATTTCTACTTAGTACAGGGTCTAGCTCCTAATTATCACTATCCTAAAATTCAACTTAGCAAGTGAATTCCACCCTCCCCTTAGTTCTTTTAGGGAACATCTTATTTTAATTTATATTGGCATATATTCATTGTGCATAGTGATGGGCTTCAGAGACTTCTGTATTCAAGTGTAACATTACCTTTAACCACATTCATCACCCACCCTCTCTTCTCTTCACTCTCCCCTCCCCCCACCCTTCCCTAGTCACCCTTCTGCCTTCATGTCATATGTGTGATATGTGTGTGTATGTATATGTATGTATATACATATATATATCTATATGATATCATAAATGTACAATATATAATACATATAAAATGTAGTTTCCACAAATGAAACCAACAAAACACAACAAAAGCCTGGCTATATTTGGCTAAACTTTCCAGCAAATGATGTAAAAATTTTCAAAGGTATTTTGTGTGTGTGTGTGTGTGTGTGTATGTGTGTGTGTGTGTGTGTGTGTGTGTGCCCGTGCACATGTGGAGATCAGAGGACAATTTTGTGAAACCTGTCCCCTCCTTCCACCTTTATGTGGGTTCCAGGAATCAAGAATCTGGTCATTAGAATTGCATGACAAATGCCTTCGCCTTCGAGCCATCTCACCAACCCTGACTGAAAATGACCTAATTTTGTTTATGGTTAAATTGAACTCTGTTGTGTGCATATCCTACACTTTGTTTATCCATCCCCGGTTGATGGACATGCAGGCTAATTGGTAATTGGCTACAGTGAATAGAGCTGCGATAAGCAGGGCGTGGAGGCTGCCTGGGTCTTACAGTAGCTCTGTTTTCAGTTTGCTGAGGAACCTGCATGCTGATTACCACAGGGCCTGAGCTAATTTCCCACTAGCAGCGTGTGCTGGGAGAAAGTTTTAACCGAGTACTTTGGTGCTTAAATTCCTCAAGCAGATGCTGCCAATCTCTAACACAGTCAACAATGTGTCCCTCGCTTCCCACACGTCGTCACCTCTGGGAAGGAGCTCCTAGTTCTGAATTCAAAAACTCTTCTTGTATGGAATGAGAGACTTGAAGCACGTTTTTTCCAGAGTGTGCAGCAGAATGATGAAGCAGAAGTTTGGGGCACAGGGACACCGGCTCAGATTTCCTGGCTGAGGACGAAAGAGTCCAGTGAAGCACTTCCCC